GTCCAGAAGAGGGCTGTAGGGGTGTCATGCCCTCTTAAACCTGTCATATAAGCATTAGAGTTGGCAAATTGAGCAAGTGTAGTTGGCAAATTGCAATTATTGAGTTGTTTTTTTTCTTTTAGGTGTCTTGTTGGCAAAAAAAAATACATACGACACCTCTCCCCACCTTTTCCTATGGAAAAACTCATCGGGACGGCACTGCTCTGAATTACTGTATTTCCATAAAATTAAAATAAGACATTAGTTTATTAAATATGAATACCTGCAGCACTTTAAGTTGGCCAATATTTACAAGATTGTTTTTATATATGCTATTTTTTTATAGTGGCTATATTTTTCAACTAGGTTGCTGAATAAATTTTATCGTTTGTTAAAAAAATAAATTTAAGTGTTTTAAATACAGTTTGTTATTCCATATAATTGCTCTGTACTTCAATACACTTTTTTCAGTGATTTTCTTATTTATGTACTCTATCCTTGTAGTAAGAATCTAGAAGACCTTCGAAATAGGTTTCCACGGCTGTTTGAATTCTTCGTTTTAATGAAAATCGTTTTCAACACATGAATTTTTTTTATGTGAGAATAGCCATAAGTTAGTCAACTAATGGCTATTCTCACACTAAATCAACGTCTACCTTATTTACCGAAATAAAACTAATATATATGATTGATGTTGCAACAATTTATACTTAAATTCACTGATTTTCGCGATGGTTTATTGACCTGCGTAGGGTGCGTTTTCTTGATAAAAAGTTATTTTTTTCTTTTCTAAACCTGGTCATTTCTCACTATTGTCCAAAACTGGTCCAAAAGGTTACAACAGGTTAATGATTGTAGACCTAAGTTTTAGCCATAGTTATGAAACGACGCACAAAATTCTTTTTATTCTTTGTAAATCGTTAAATGTTGCTAAGAAAGTTGCAACCGAATTTGTTTTTAATTCATTGTTAGCAAATGTCGCGTACATTGTGCACACAACTTATTGAAACCCAAAACTTCATTCAAAATTTTGTTTACACTACCTAAGGAGATGTCTAGAGCTTCTACTAAATCTCTCTCAATTTATTGACAATCTTTCAAAAATATACGTTATTTTTTTGATACGATTTCTGGTTGTTATGCACTTTTTGTACGTCCTTGACGTAGATCATCTTAAAAACTTGTACAACAACGTTAAGCATTTCATCTTTCTACTATTCTAATTGAGCGTGAAGAATCCTTATACACTTTTAATAATTTTTAATGAATTTGTTTTAGTGCTACGCAATTACTAAATAATAATCCTTTAACTGCAAAATATTCAATTTTGTATATGTTGCGAAACTAGAATAAAGATGTACTCACTACCCAGCTAGCAAGAAGTTATTGGCCCAATGTATAAAACAACATTGGCGAAATATTTGGATTGGACCAATGCTTCTCCAATGCATGTACGTTAAGTTTTATTTCTAATATAATTTAGCCGACGCAACTGTACGAATAGCACAAACACTTTTTGTGATACGCGTATTTGACAAATACAAGGTTTCCATCGTTAACGTAGTATCAAAGATCTTAACTAGATTCTAATCTTTAAATATAAATATTCATTTGACTTATTGTATTTCAGTTAAGTAACATTTATTACAATAGTATGTAAATATTTTTATACAAAGTGCAGTTTGAAAAAAATTATTTTTCATGCACTGAAAAATTAAAAAAAATTGTTGTTATAAAAAGAAAATAAATAAATAAAAGTGAAGTAAATGAAAAAATATATGCTAATTTTTTATTGTAAATAGTTATTATATAGAAAATGGATAGCTATACAAAAGATTATTCATACTCTTCCATTCGTCGAAAAGCTAAAAAACAAGCTGAACTTGATTTAAATAAATTATATAATAATCTTCCTGCCCGTACCAATTTTTGTGATGTCAAGCAGCTAGTTCAGCAGGAAGATATAACTTTATTAAAAGATGAACAAGTTTTTTTTAAAAAAATTACATCAACTAATACCCAGACAACAGATTTTAATTTACAGTGTAATTTTAGTTCTGAAACAATCAGAGATTTAAATTTTGCTAATGATAATGTCAATGATATTGATTCGGAGGAAAATAACTATGTTTCATCTAGCTCTGATAATCAAGATGAAAATTTTGATGGTGAAATAAACAACATACTTCGCGATTGGTCTCTGCAATATAAAATAACCCGTGTGGCGCTTGCATCACTTCTATGCATTCTTAAACCATATTTCCCAACTTTACCACAACATCCAAGGACATTATTAAAGACACCTACAATATTTGAAGTTAAAAAACTAAAATGTGGAGGAGATTATTGTCACATTGGACTTGAGAATGGTTTAAAAAACTGCATTAATGATTTGTTTATACCTGAGAATACAAACATCCATTTGCAAATTAACATAGATGGGTTGCCTCTTTTCAAAAGCTCTGGTGTCTCAGTATGGCCAATACTTTGTATTGTAAAGAACTTCAGTATGAAAGAACCATTTGTTGTAGGAATATATAGCGGAAAAGAAAAACCACCAAGTGCAGCAGAGTTTCTTGAAGAGTTTGTTGAAGAAACTAAACATTTAGTAGATAATGGTTTTCTGTTTAATAACAAAAGGTATTCTGTTAAAATTCATTCATTTATCTGTGATGCACCTGCTAGAGCATTTGTCAAAGGTATAAAAGGTCACTCTGGTTATAATTCATGTGAAAAATGCGCAACAAATGGTGAATATGATGGCAAATTAATTTATCCTGAAACTAATGCACCACTACGAACAGATTTATCTTTTTTTCATATGATTGACAAAAAACATCATCTCTGGGAGTGTCCTCTAAAACTGTTGAATGTTGGTTTTGTTAGTCAGTTTGGTCTAGACTATATGCATCTGGTTTGTTTAGGAGTCATGAAGCGATTGATTCTTTATTGGAAAGGCCCAAAAGGCCCTTTGCACGTTCGAATCGGTACACGTGCAATGGATCAGTTGTCTAATAGTCTAAATTCCTTATCACAAAATATTCCTTCTGAATTTTCAAGAAAGTGTCGTTCTGCTCATGAAGTTTTACGCTGGAAAGCTACTAAATTTCGTCTTTTTTTACTGTATCTGGGCCCATTAGTGCTCTCAAATGTTTTATCATTGCCTTTATACAATCATTTTATGTTACTAAATGTAGCTATAACAATATTGGTAGATCCAGTGTTTTCTAAGGATTACTCTGAATATGCTCACGAATTACTTGTTTTATTTGTAAATGAAGGTAAAAGTCTCTATGGTAAAGGATTTCTTGTTTACAATGTTCACTGCCTTATTCATTTATCAAAAGATGTGCAGACACTTGGTCCATTAGATAATTTTAGCAGTTTTTCTTTTGAGAATCTGTTAGGACAGTTAAAAAAAATGATTAGGAAACCACAATTTCCAATTCAGCAATTAGTTCGAAGATTAGGAGAGAGGAAACTAAGCAGTAATTTAAAAAATGATAATAACTTGGATGAGCTTAATTTACTTAAAGGTGAACATTTTAATGGCCCTTTACCTAATGGGTTTGAACATGCAAAACAATTTAAAAAAGTTCAGTTAGAGAAATGGTTTTTTTCAACATCAAATAAAGATAACTGTTTTATTACAAATGAT